ATAAGTGGCCGTGACCACGTTGGGATCTCGCCTTTATGGTGGCGGATAGGCCATGGCCTTGTCGATCGAACCAGATGCGGGCTGAACACCGTCAATTCTGAATGGTCGTACCACTAATTAATCATGAATTAACTTAAAACGGGATTAGCCTCGTTAATTATCGTGGGGTCGAATTCTGACCCATACAGTTAGTCCCTCCGCTTATTGAGGTCGGGCCTTGGCCGAGCTCGATGAGTGAATTCCATTAGCTGTATTTCGAGAAACACGGTGGGGATGTCGACTGTTGCTTCGGTCGAGGCCGAATTCTTTTTGGCGATGGTCCTTAGCCTTGTAGAGTATTAGTATCCTGTTACTGGGCTCTCAAGTCATCGTTCGATCGAGGTCGAACCCTCCTCCTGGGCGGAGGCACTTGACCTTTTAACTTACTTCGAATGAGGTCGAGCTGCATTGTGCTCCGATCCTTATGTTTGTTTTGGAAGCATACCCGTCGGCCACTAATTAATCATGAATTAACTTAAAACGGGATTAGCCTCGTTAATTATCGTGGGGTCGAATTCTGACCCATACACTTACCTTCTATCTTAGTCGCTAAATTTCATTTATATATGAAGGTGTCGATTATTAATTGGATATTTGTTTAACGAGGTACAACTATAGTCATGAAATTAATCCATATAATAAGGGTACTTAACTGACGTCCATAGTTTCCGTTTTTTTCTGGGTCAGAGGCGGATCCAGGATTTATATCCTGTGGGTTCAAGTTTTAAGGTTTTTAGCATTGAATGTATTGTATTTTTAAAGTTATGGATTTATTAGACCTACCATTTGTTGCAATTTTAATGAATTTTTACACATAAATTTATGCTCAACGACGAAAGTATTAGGTAATTCAGATGAACCCGGCGGGTATACTCTACATCTGCCTCTGCTTCGGACCCCTTTACCTTGCGAGTTTAAGTTACATACACTGTCAGTGTAAATAATTTTTTATACTATTAGGTCACTAAAACGAATATGATCAAAATGGGGTAAAAAGTACTTGTACCGATGATATATATAACTTAAAGTCTTATGTTGCATAGTTTTTTTTTTCTTTAAGCGAGGGAACTGCAATTTTTTAGTTAATGCATTTTTCTTTTACGTTTAAGATTCAAAATCATGCATTATTGTTTAAGTTTTAAACTTACTAATACAACTTTACAGATACAGAAAACATTTTACGCCATAGTTATGGCCATGCCCGTAATATGACATATCCAAAGAATACCTTGATAAATGAAAAACATATGTTTAATATAGGAATCACATTAAAACAACAAAAGCAAGGATAAAAAGGCGCATTGCTTCTTAAGAATAGAACTCAAATTGTGGAACGAAAATTTGATTTGGCAGGGGATAATTAAGTAGCTTCATTCTAAGTCCAAACCAAGATAGAAAGTCTCAATTCAGTTCCATATATAGATTTAGATCTTTTTATTGTTAATAGACCTATTGAGAAATGAACGATCACATCTACAACAAATTTGACATAAGGCCACAGTAATTTTAAACAACACAGTAATTTGACATAATGTCCATTGCAGAAGCAAGCCTGGAGAGGAACACTGTTATTTTGTTTTCTTCACTGGTATTTTTGTTTACCCTAAAATCGGAAAACAGTTGAATTAATACGCGGTTTTAAGGATACGTGATATAACTTGGTACAAATTGAGGAGAATAAATTCAATATTGAAATAGACAATAAAAGAATAAATGCAAACCACACGAATTGAACAGATGCAAACCACACGAAGAGAACAGCCTTGGCCCTCGAGTTCAGTCACCCTTGAACCAAATATGTTTCAACTTGCTTATGAACAGAATAACAAGATACTGAAAGCTAGAAAATGATAGTATATTGCTCAGTATTGCGTGAATATGATCTGGTTTACAAATTATCAAACCCTCCTTTATATAGTAGGGGAGTCCTACTCTAGATACAATTCTATATGAGGTAAGAAATCACATGACTGGCTAATTAATTGGCCTCTTCTTGATACGTGCCGAGATTCGCGCCGTGATCCTTGCCCGATTGCGGATATTTGGACTTTCCGTTTTTTGGCTCGGTAAGTTTCCTTCGATCTCTATCTTGTTCGGTCTTGATCTTGGTCGATCTCGTTCTTGATCGGTCTCAACGCCATGAGCTCGGCAACCTAGTTTTGCATCATGGTTCAATATAACTCGAGGCTGAACCTCGGCCCAGTCTCGATCAGTCATATAAAAAGGGCAAGTCCGATTTTGACCGTATACAATTTTATTTCTCTATTTGATGGATGTAGGAGGAAGTAGATAGTTATTCTCATTGTATTTTGTTCTAGTAATCAATAAAGCTTTTACTTTCGCCCAAAAAAAAAATTAAATTTGGAAAGCATTTCCAAGACTGTCTATGAGAAAGATTATTCCCAATACACATGAATTCAACCTTTACTACTTAAACCCCCAATGAGAATGAGTACTTCACTGGTAGATAAACAATTCTATCTACAAGTGTTTCCAATTATGGAGGCTTGTTACTACAAATTGCTCACAGACAATTAGGTTAGTGTGAAGGTTATAAATGAGTTTAGCTAACTTGCTGACCAAATTTATTGAATATGTATGAGTTACTCTCTCCGTTCCAATTTATGTGAACATGTTTGACTGGGTACGGAGTTTAAAAAAATGAGGACTTTTGAAATTTGTGGTCCTAAACAAGTGAAAAAGGGCCTTAGAGTATTTATGTGGTTGTAAAAGCTTCTCATTAAGGGTAGAATTGTAAGTTTAAGCTAAATTATTACCAAATTTAGAAATGGTTCATTCTTTTTAAAACGGATCAAAAATGAAATAGGTTCACATAAACTAAAACAGAAGAAATATTAATTTAGTATTCAGTAATTTTAAAAAATTAAAATCTCAAATCCATAAACTATTAGCAACCGTAATATGATTGTCCATGGTCAGCGGACGAGACACGTCATAGGGGAATTTATGCCTTGCTTGTAAGAGTCGAAGAAGAGAGGGGTCCATGCTGTCCTTAATTGGGCCCCCAGTTAAAACCGGGTCCACAAATTTGAGTGTCATTTCGGTTTTCAAGCCCATTTGTTTGCCTTCCCTTTCTCTTTATCGAGTACCCAAATATTCTCAATTACTATCTGTGACGTCAGATGTATCCTTCTCTTCCCAAATCCAAAGTTCGACAAAATCGTAGCCGTCCAATTCTCCTCTAGTGATGTGATGCAGTCAAGTGTGGGCCCTATTCATCATCAGACAGTGGGACGACAGTACTTGGGCCCACATAAGTTGTCACCGACGGTACTTGGGCCCTACATGCATATGCCTTTTGCTTCCTTCATATTCACGATCTCAGCCCCCATATTTTTTCATTCCATCACAAGCTTCCATAAATCTCATTGTATCTTCTTTCTCACTATCCCAGAGATACATATAACTACATAAACAAGAAGCAGGCTAAATATTGCCCAGAAAGTTTTTTTCCTTTTGGATCAAGTTGAAAAGAGTGTCACATTTACAAATGGGGATTACTTCTTTGCAAGTTTGCATGGATTCATCCAACTGGCTACAGGTTTGTATATTCAAAATGTTCTTATAATTTTCCTTTATCTTATGGCTTTTTTAGTCTACCTATTCTTACCAGCACATGAAATATTCACATGAATATAGCTAGTCTCGTAGCCATGCATGTTTTTTTCAAAGAATAACAATGGGAACAATGGCCATGAATATATTTTTTCACAGTCATAGCCATTTTTGGAACTTAAATGGCTAAAAACTAAACTTTTTACGTGTATCCTATCTCTTTCTTGCATTGGTAAAATTGCATATCCTAAGCAAAGATAGAAGGAGGATGAGTGAAAACAAATATAATGTTGTAACCTAAATGAATCCGTATAGTATGCTAAATGCTGTCATTGCATAGATATTTAATTAATAAGACATGAAGGAATGTCTGGAGAAATTTACGTGAATTATTCCGATATAAATTCTCTGACAAGTTTCCCATGACAGGACACAATTCACGAGGAAACTGAACTGGATTCATCTTCTTCACCATCTGGTGACATTTTCACATGCTCAAGGCCTTTAATAGAAAGAAAGCTAAGACCCCAACATGACCAACCTCTCAAATGCCCTAGGTGTGACTCAACGCACACCAAATTCTGTTACTACAACAATTACAGCCTTACTCAGCCTAGATACTTTTGCAAATCATGTCGAAGGTACTGGACTAAAGGAGGTACTCTAAGAAATATTCCTGTTGGAGGTGGATGTAGAAAGAACAAGAAAGTTTCTTCCAAGAAATTGTCTAATGAAAATGCTACTAATTACCAAAATCCTGGATCATCCTCATCTTCTATTTCTAGTTTCCCAGAAATGGCATTTTCCCACTTCACCAACTTTATGGGAAATAATAATCCTACTAACTTCATGCTTGAAAATCCTGCACCTATTGATTTTATGGAGAGCAAGTATGAAGCTTTGGTGGGGAGTTCAAGAAATCAAGATTTTCTTGGGAATGTTGATCATCTAGGCATGATTAATGGATATGGTGAGATTAATGGAATTGCACCAAATTATCATGCAGGGCTATGCTCTACATTTGGATTGCCTATGGATGGGAACATCATGAATTATGATGGGCAAAATGCAATTGATGTGAAGCCAAATCCTAAAGTTTTGTCACTTGAATGGCATGACCAAGGCTGCTCTAATTCTGGGAATAAAGAATCTTTTGGCTACTTTAATGGAGGACTAGGGTCTTGGACTGGTTTGATGAATAATGGTTATGGATCATCTGGGACGACGAACCCTTTAGTTTAAACTTTAAACTAAATAAGTCTAGTGGTATTGATGGAAAGGATGAAAATCTCAAGAGAGATTAATAGATGTTGGTTCAATTTTCCTTAGTCTAAACTAAGTCAATTTCACTTTAGCGACCACTTTCTAGTACGGTTGTAATCTCATGTTGTATGATGAGTGGTTGAGATTATCTTAGGCATTATTAAGGAATTATTAGGCCTGAATTATCCCCTACTTTTACCTAAATTCCTCTGATGGAAAGGTCTACTGGTTTTGTACTTATCGTTTCTTTTGTGAAGGATTTTGCCCTAGTTTAATTAACATGTTGAGTGTGAATGGAAATTGTAGAAGCTGTTCGTATTCACGAGTCTTTGATATTCCAATTTGTCATTTTCCAAATTTGGTCAGCTAGCAGTATATATTACTAATGCTTGTCTTGAGGAATTCAAAGTTGTGGGCTTGTTGGATTTGATCAGATATCGAGGAAGATATTGTAATAGAAATATTGTTCTCCACAATATATAGTAGTCTATTGTCTTTGGTCAACAAATGTGTTTAGTACTTGGATACGGAAGAATGTACTACTAGCAATTAGTAGCATTTTTATGTGCTGACGTCTCTTTGTTTGCTGAACTTATTATTGATAGAGATAGAAGAATTAATTTAAATAATTGCACACTCAATTGTTCAAATTTAAAATAGCCGACAGTGTATATATATATATATATATATATAATCTGGTCGATATGGATTTAGGACTTTAGACTTTGAAGTAGTAATCTTGTAACTGTAAAAGCCAGTTTACAAGAAAGGAAATAATAGCCGTCTAGTGAATTGCGATGAAATATCCGTGTATTTTGTAAGTGTTCGTTTGAGGAATGGATCAAACGATTTTGCGAAGTAAAAAAAAAAAAGAAATTAACAAGTTTTCGGAAATGTTATTGCAAATATTTTATGCAAAATAAAAAACAAATTCAACAAGTTTTCTGAAAAGCTATTGCAAATTTTTTTGCTAATTTTATTATTGGTTGAAAAGGTCTTGATATGGAATTTTTTGAGGATACTTTTCGGTAACACTAAGGGTCTGTTTGAAAAGTCATCCGGTAATTGGAATTAATGTAATTACTAGGGCAGTAATTATACAGCTTAGTGATTATACAATATAGTAATTACGATGACTTCTTTGTTTGTCATAGCGTAATTACAAGCGTACTGTTTGGTTACACAAGTGTAATTACACAGTTAGATTAAATTTTAAATAAAGTATTTATCAAAAATTAAAAGTTAATATAATAAATATATGTCTATAAATAATTTTTTATAAGTATAGATGAAATTATATTTATTCAAGATGCATAGTTTTTCTTGAATATACATTAATTAGTAATCATATCTTTATAACTAATATTGTAAAAATAATTCATATATATTTTCTAAATTAATGGAGTAATATCTAGTCTAGTTAATTATAAAAACTAAAAACATACGTTTTGTAAGAACATCATGGAATGCATGTTTGATAAAATAAATTAATATTTATAAATATAATATCATAATATTATTAAAAATTTGACAAAATTAATCTATCAATTTTAACTTAAAAAATGAACAACATGCAATGTGAAATAATAAAATCACGGTTTTAAAAACCAAAACAAATATATAGTATTTGGGGTGGGTTGGGACATATTTGGGTATGGGTTTTAAAACGTAACCAATAATATTATGCCACATCATTAAAAATAAATTTTAGTATTTAAAAGACTTGAAGTGGGCTGT